TTTGTTCACTGTCAACAGGCCTGTTGAGTGCTCTTTTATGGTGCCTTATTCTGGATATCTTCCTCCCTCCCTTCCCCCACAGCTGCAAAAAACCAGATGTGCTGGACTTAGTCCAGAAGCTACAGTTACAGAGGCTTGGTTTTTTTTTTCTCAAGTCATAGGATGACTGTCTTTTTTCTTAAGAGGAAGAAAAAGTTTGTGCTGCAGAAAAAAAAAGCTGTTCTATATTGCAGTTACTGTTTCAGTTTTCAGAGACCAAAAAAGCATGCTGCTGCAAACTGTTTTTAAAGATTTTGTATTTTGGAGGGAGGGGGTTGTTGTTGTTTTGGTATTTTTGAGACAGGGCTTCCCTGTAGCCCCAGGTGGCCTGGAATTCACTATGTAGATCAGGCTGGCCTTGAACTCACAGAGATCCGCTTGCCTCTGCCCCCTGAGTCTTGGGACTTAAAGGCATGCGCCACTATGCCCAGCTTCAAAGTTTTTATTTTTTTAAAGCAAGAAGTGTAGCAAACTCTCAAGCTAGTCATTTGTAAATCTTTTACGTCCTAGCAAAAATACTAGACTTTTCTCTCCACTGGTTGACTCCACCTGCCAATCTACCACATTGTGTATTCCAAGTTCCTTCATGCTTGCTTGAGTGGAATATCATACATAGCTATAAGCCTATAAGAGATGTAGTGAGACTGAGGAAAGCAGCTAGAAGATGCCATCTGCGTCCTGAGTGGAAAGAAGAGCCAGATTTTGCCTTCTGTGCTGCCATCAAGATCACGAGAAAGCCAGGCCTGCTGGGATTCATCTACTGAATGCAAACCAAAAATGCATGCATCCAGATATCCAATCCCTTTTCTTTTGACTCTCTTTTCTCTACTTCTTACTGAGTCTTTCTTAGAAAAATATTTTGATCCCCCCCCCCCGGCATTCTGTTTCCTTCCGGTTTCGATGTATAAATGTTCTGTCTTAGGGGGTTTTTTTGAGGCAGGGTCTCATGTGGCCCAGGTTGGCCTCAACTCACTATGTAGCTGAAACTGGCCTTGGGCTCCTGATCCCTGCCTCTGCCTCTCAAGATCTGGGATTACAAGTGTGAGCCACCACACCTTGCTAAGTATTTTGTCTTATTTGAAGATTTTGGCTTGAAAATGTTAATAATGTTGCTGTTACTTCATGTTTATTGGATATCTAACTATTTGTTTTGCTGTACTCTGTTAACCTTGAAGGATTTCTCCATGGCTTAGCAGCCATTGAAATAATAAATACACTGCCACAGGTAATGCCTTTGTTTCCTTGTGGCCAAAAATCAGCTCCCATTTCAGCTGTACATAGCAAATCCCACTGAAACAAAAACACAAAGAGCGCTCATATAGAAAAATTCCTGTGTGAACTAACTAGTTGATGCATGTTAGGATTCTGTACCAAATTTCCGTAGTTAGCTTTGATGCTCCGTAGCAATACTACATACTGTTTTGAGTAAATGCTAAAGTGGATTTTTTTACTGAAAGCAGTACTGTAAAAAGAATAAGCTATTATTTGTATAACACAATACGCCACTGCACAGAGTAGAGACACTTGTGATCCCTCATGTGAACATTCTTTAGACTGAGGTGAAATATCAGTCTGTTAGGAAACAACATGAGTTGATGACCAGATGTGATGCAAGCAGGCAGAATCACTCCTCATTTAGCTCCTCAGTGATAGAGCCAGAAGCATTCTGGTCAGGACCCGTTGACAGGTGAAATGGGCCTTCAGAAACTTTCTACAAAGAAAAACTCAGGAAGCTGAGATAACAGGAATTAACCATCAGTCAGAATGAGAATACAGCACAGATAATCATACATTTTTCCAGGGAAAATGCTAGGCTAATCTGGAGTTCTGGTTGGTGATCAGTAGTGGCCAGAGGAGCACAGCAAATAGTGGTTGGTAAGAAAAGTCGGTTCTTCCAGCTTCCAGCTCAGTGGGCTGTGAGTGCACACCTCCTCAACAGGGCCTAATTGTGATGTAGTGTATTGAACAATACACTAAATTATTTCAAGTAAGTCTGCTGGCTAAAATGTTGGCCCTATTTTCTTTTTTAAAAAATATTTTTATTTTTTTTATGTCTGAGTGTATTGCCTGCATGTAGTAAGTGCACCCGTGTTGTACAGTACCCACGGAGGTCAGAAGAGGATGTCAGATGCCCTAGAACTGGAGTTTTGCATGGGTATTAACAACCACGTGGGTGCTGGGAACTGAGCCTGGTTCCTCTGGTAGAGCAGTCAGTGCACTTAACCAACAAGCCATCTCTCCAGCTTCCTGGCTCTATTTTCTTAAAAAAATAGTTTCGGACTTAAAAAAAAAATTAATGCTAAAAAACAAATACTTGGAGAACATTTTAGGTAGTAGTATAGTTACAAACATGGCTTTGCAAGGCAGAGTTGCTGTGATTTGAATTCGGAACTACCAAGTACCAACCTTTTTGTGCCTCAGTTTTCTCATTTGTAAAGCAGGCTAATAGTACAGGTTAAGGATCCTTTATCTTAAATGTTTGAGACCAGAAGTATTTCAGATTTTGTGGGGTTTTTTTGAAACATTTGTGTGTACGCAGTGATACAGCTTGAAGATGGGACCCACATCTAAACTCAGAATTCATATGTTTTTCATATGCACTTTATACACATAGCCTAAATGTATTATATACAGTATTTTTAGTGTACCTCCATTTTGACCATAATCCATTACATCATGTCAGACATGGAATTTTCCGCTGATGGCTTCTTATCAAGAGTCCAAATATTTCAGATTTTAGAGCATTTTGGGTTTTGGATTTTCAGGGTTGTAGGAATGAAGTGCACTAGTATCTACAGTTGTACCTGGCATGTGGTAAGTACTAGGAATTTTTTTGTTTTTAAACAGAACTGGCTTAGTACTTGAATTGAGCATTAAATTTCTGAAGATGCCCGTTTTAAAACTTCCGTTAACTTCCCCTTACATTTTACTTTTGCAGTTCTCAATGCATGATGATTTCTTGGGTTTAATTTGTTTAGATGATGGGTTTATAGAAGCATGTTTGTGGAAAAAAAACAAGCACATATGCGTTCCCTAGTGTATTTTAAATCATTCCCCAAACTAAGAGGGAGCCTTATATATGGAAGAAGTAGCATTTTATCACTCATTCTCCATCAGGAACATAGAGTTTAGAAAAGAAAATGACTCATGTAAATTAAAACTTCTTGAAAATATTTCCAAGTCTGTAAACAAAGTAGAAAGCTTTTAGACCACAAGAAATGACACATATGCCCAAGAGAAGGGAGAAGAGTGTATGCTGTACCTAATGTGCACCCAGCATTTATCAGAGTGGTCAGGTTCTACAGTTATTTTATTTTATTTAGGTTTTCCTGTTTGAAGTATTGTAAGAATCCCCAAGAGATTCTGGTTCAGTATTTTTAATATATTCTCAGGAAACATGTACTTTTAAAAATTGACTTTATGTTTAAGAATCTGCAGTATCCAGGGCTGGAGAGATGGCTCAGTGGTTAAGATACTGGCTGTTCATGCAGAAGACCTGGGTTCGAATCCCAGCACCCATGTGGCAGCTAACAACTGTCTGTAACTCCAGTTCCAGGGGGTCTGACAGCCTCTTCTGTCCTCCGTGGGCATTGCACGACACGGGTGCACTTACCTACATCCAGGCAATATGCGCATACACATAAAATAAAAATAATAAATAAAATATTTTTTAAAAAAAGAATTTGCAATATCCTTTTAACAGGTATACCAGACAATTGATTTAAGGAAAGATTTGCCAAATGATTGGTCTGTGTTCCTGAGACTTTGCTTTCTCACCATTAGAATTAAAGATTTGATCAGAAAGGTGATCTACATCCTAACTCTTGTGGTTTTATAATTCTTATTTCCATAATGACTATGATATCAAAGGAAGATTCCATTATATGAGATAGAATATGGGGTAAGAAAATGAGCCTTCTGTTTACCAGAAAAAAATTAATTCAGCACATTTAAAGCTGTAATAAAGAAAAAGAACTTTCTAATAGTAAACTTACAGTAATGACAATGGAGCATAATAAAATATTCAGTGCTCTAATAGTATGTATTACTTTCTACAGTGTCACTGTTTAAAACATCATTGCTGGACCAATGAGATGGCTCAGTGGGTAAAGGTCTTGCTACCAAATCAATCCCTAGAACCTACATGGTAGAAGGAGAGTACAGACTCCTGAAAGTTTACTCTGACCTCCACATGAGCCCGCACATGGGTACTCACACAAACATACAAAATAAAGAAATGAAAAAAAAATTGTTGCTAATTATCAGTCTTTAAATTTCACAAGTTTACTAAGGTTTTGAGCAATTAAAATTTCTCTTTTTAGTTCTTATTCTAATCTGTAGTAATTCTTTTGCTAGTTGTCCCAGCAGCTGAACATAGTTATCTTTCATACATCTACTATTTGTCACAATGATTTGAATTTAAAAGTTTAGCTAGAGAGACATGTTTGCTACCTGTGAGGACAGTTGTTGGGCATCAAAGAATGTCTAACAATGACCAAGTTAGTATTGTTAGCATTGTTGTATTGCTGAGTCTAAATAGACAGTTGGAAGCTACAGATAAGTGGTTTGTTTTTTTTTTTTATGTCATAAGTAATCCCTAAACCCACCTTATATGAGAGAGTAACAAGTTTTTCTTCAGTTCCACAAAGTGATGGCCAATAACTCACATTAATTGACATTGCTGGTTTTGGGGGGTTTGGTGGGAGATGGGGGGTTTCCTCAGGAACAGAGCAGTGTGGTGTATGGAGCACCAAAGTCATGATGTCAGGACTACTTCCTGTAGACTAATTTAGTTCCTCAAATTTGGCATGCTCACTGACTGGTGTATTTCTGCTGAGCAGAGGATGTCTCTACAATACCTTAAAGAGTATATGGCTTATTAAAGCTGCTTACTGTATGTGCTGTTGTAACTGTGTACTTTACAGATCTAATCATGGTACATGATGTTTAATCTATTTTAGAAACTGGATGGCTTCTACGGGGAGCCAGACCTCTGATATAGACAAGATTTTGGGATTCTTCAGTGATGGTGAACCCTCCACCAAAAAGCCCAGGTAATCAAGAAAGGGAATCAGAGGAACAGAAAATTACTGTTAGTGGGAGGTAAAGAAAAACAGCGAGCTCACCCTGTATTATAGGTGTTTTCACTAATCAATATTGACCTTTATTTTAAAAACTAAATTATTTTTATTTTGAATTTAATTTTTTATTAAGGTAATATATGTGCATAGTTTTAAAGCTAGCTAATTTAAGGCTTAGAATGACATTCCTGAGAGATAAGCATTTTCCATTTTTTCTAATATTGCTATCTGGTTTGGTTTGGTTTGGTTTTGGATTGTGAGACAAGGTCTTGCTGGCTCGGGCTGGCTGGGAATTCCTCCTCCACCTCTCTGATGCTGTGATTCCGAGCCTGCGCCTGGCAGCATGTGTTTTTAAACAATGTGTGTGCACTGCTTTCTTGTCTTCCTTTTTGACTTCCAGTAGTAGAGGCTGAGGGTCCAGTTTGCTTCTGTGACTCTGCTCCCTGTGTTGCTATCCACTTGCTTCACCCTTATCTCCACAGTATGTTATCAGAGTGTTTGATTCAACCAGTTTCTAATATTTACATTATATGACTGTATAAATAGTATTGACAGCTGAGCCTAATGTATTATGATTATTTTGTTTCATGCCCCCCCCCGTATTACTAAAGATTTTCTCAAGTGTTTTGTTTATTTTCTGTGTCCTTTTTTATTTATCCTTAAACACTGTGACAGGAGAATTATCAAATTAAACTATCAAGTTTCTAAATGTTTTCAAAAACATTTGGAAACTTGCTAGTTTAATTGAGTTCGTGGAGTCTTCCTCTAGACTCAATCCTACCCTAGTCAGTTGTTCCTCAATCTCCCGCTTTCTGTCTTGACAGACACATCTTGATGGACTTCTTCAATTTGCTGAAACATACCCTGTGTACTTTCCGTAGTAAGGACACACAGGAAAAGAATTGTTGTAGACATTAAATGTCCTTACCATATACTTATATTTATTTGATGATATGATTAAATATAAAATTTTAGGTAGGAAAGTTTATTTATTTATTATTTATTTATTTTTTGAGACAGGGTCTCCCTATAGCCCCAGCTGACCTGGAACTAACTATGTAGACCAGGCCAGCCTCAAGGATCCACCTGCCTCTGACTCCTCAGTGCTGGGATTAAAGGTGTGAGCCACCACACCCTGCAGAAAGTTTTTTTCTTAGAATTTTGAAGGTGTCACTCATTTCTCTGGTAACTCCTTAAGTATCCCTGCCAGAATAGCTACTCTGTTTTAGCAATTATGTTAGAAACCAACTTAAAGGAGGAAAGGATTATTTTGCCTGTCAATTTCAGAGGTTTTGGTCTGTGGTCTGTTGCCTACATTGCTTTTAGGGTATTATGAAGGTCGAGCATCATTCAAGGAACAGATGGTAGAGCAGAGCTGCTCATCATGACTGCTAGGAATCAGAGCCAGAGAAGGGTCCAGGAACAAGATAAAAAGCTTTGCGGTTACAACTCTAGTGACCCATTACCTCCATTAAGCCCTATGTCTGAGAGTTCCCATCCTCCCAGTAAATGGATTCATCCATCCATGACGTCAGATCCCTTGAACCAGTCACCTTCCAGAAGCCCTCCTCTGACCACTGTTGCATTGGAAACCAAACCTTGAACACTTGAATCTTTTCAGGGATATTCTAGATCCAGATCAATCCTTTGTTTTGTTTTGTATAGTTTTTCATATTTACTTTATGTAATGAGTGTTATCCCTACATGTATGTAAGTGTACCTGTGTTGTGCAGTGCCTATGGAGGCCAGAAGCGGGGTTGGATCCCCTGAAACTGGAGTTATGGATGGTTGTTAGCTGCCATGTGGGTGCTGGGATTTGAACCCAGGTCCTCTGCATAGAGCATCCAGTGCTCTTAACTGCTGAGCCATCTCTCCAGCCCTCAGATCAGTCCTTTGTATTGTGCAACCTCTTTTTCTTGCCTTTGCTCACTAGAAACTTGTAAAGATCACTTTGTTCTCAGTAACATGAAATTTTATAATACTGTATCTTCTTGTGAGTCTAGATAACTGTGGCACTTTCTAGCTAATTCCTGCTAACTTCATTTTGAAACAATTGTCTTTTGACAATTTTTTGACTTTTTTGATACCTCCGATTAAACTTTTTCCTTGTCTTTGTAGAACTCTTCTTGTTTCGATGATGGACCTTCTGGATTAAGTTATGAATTTTCTTATGTTTCTCCCCCACACGACACCTTGATAGGGTCTCTGAATTGTATCCCATCCTGACTTCCAACTTGAGCCTCCCTCATTAGCTTCCCTTGTGCTTAGATTATAGGCATGCACCTCTGTAGCTGGCTCTTGTGTTTTCATCTACTTTCTTGTAGATTTTTGGTCTTTTTGAGACAGGGTCTCCCTGTATCCCCAGCTGGCCTGGAGCTCACTATGTAGATCAGGCTGACCTTGAACTCGCCTGCCTTTGCCTCCCGAGTGCTGGAATTAAAGGCCTGCACCACCATGCCCAGCTTTCTTATGGATTTTTAATTTTTGTTATGTTTTAAGTTTCTTTTTTTGTTGTAATTGTTTCATTTTGGTTTTTGAGACAGGGTCTCCCTGTAGCCCCCACTGGCTTGGAACTCACTGTGTAGACCCAGCTGACCTCTGTCTCACAGAGATCTACCTGCCTCTGCCCTTCAAGTGCTGGTATCAGAGGTGTACATCACCACACCCCCAGCTTTAATTTTCTTTCGTTTGTTGTTGCTTTGGCTTTTTTGAAGACAGGGTGTCACTGTGTAGCAGGCTTCCCTTCCAGTGTTCCCTTCTGCCTTAACCTCCTCAGTGAGCCCTCTCCACCTGCTAGCTTGTTTATATTTACTTCTCATCATGCAGGCCTTTTGCAGAGGTAAAGTGGCCACAGTTTGTCTGCTCATATTTTAGCTACTACAAAGCCATTGGGACTCTATGTGAGTTCCTAACTGGGTGAACAAAAGTGGATTGATAGATTGGTTTACCCAATGTGGACTGGGTAGTCTAACAATGATTGTCTTCACACTGAAGAGGCTGAGAACCAGGTCTGGCACTGGCCAGGTTGGAAGGCAGAAAGAGCTGATCCTGATGTCCATAAAGAATGGCAACTGCAGTGGCAGTAACAACAAAGTAGACAACTTGAGCAGGGTAGGTAAACTCTACAGCAGATTAGAAGGCCTTGGGAACCTCCTTTTACCTGACTGCATAAGGTGCTATCCACATTTAGGGTGGGTCTTCCCTAAAAAAGCTCTGGGGCTTTTCTTAGTTTATTCTAGATCTAATCAAGTTGACAACATCTTGGCAATCTAATTAAGATTAACCATTCACAATTTGCTAATGAGTTTCCCTCTGAATATTAAGCCTGGACCAAGTTCAGCAGTTGAGGACCTCTCATCTATCTGAAGCTGTGAATTTTTTCTGTAATAATGGTCATTTTCCTCAAAGAGTCCTTCTGTCTCCTGACTGCATGGGTGTAGGGTAGAGTAAAGGCTGAATGCTAGTGTCTGGGAGGCTTGCCCTAAGGGAAAGTAGTTGTGGGAGTCTTAGATTTCATACAGAGATTCTTAATTCCTCCCACCCAGCACTGTGCACATTATTCTCAAATGCAGAATCCTCTGGCTTACCCTTTTGGGAGTGAGGGGGACTTTAGTCTTGAGGGTTCTTGATTGACTGCAGCTGAGTTTCCATGCTTAACTGTCCACCCACCTTCACATGTGCCTGAACATCCCCAAGGTTTGACAAAGGGAACTGAGTTTTACAATACAACTTGTAAAATTGTGTTGCCTTCTGATGTCTATTATCTGCTGTCATCTTGTCCTACCCTACTTTAAACTTTTTTTTAAATTTATGTGTATGTGCCATGTCATGCAATGCCCACAGAGGCCAGAAGAGGGCACTGGATCCCCTGGAACTGGAGTTATGGGTAGTTAGCTGCCATGTAGGTGCTAGAAATGGAACCTGGGTTCTCTCCAAGAGTAACCAGCACTCTTAACCACTGAGCCATCTCTCCATTGGCTCCTATTCTACTTTTTCTATCTGTATACTGTCAACTGTAGCAGGAAGTTACAACCCAGCAGTGCTACCAGTAGCCTGAGAAGTTTAGGGCCCTCCATACAGGTAAAGCTGGGTCCTTGACTACACCACAGAGAAGAATTTTAGGATAAGTTAGAATGAAGGAAGTAAAGCTATGAGTTTATTAAGTAAAGATAAGGATGTTACACAGTTTTTAATTTAAGCATAGGAATTTAGAGAAAGCAAAGAAATGCTTAGGAAAAGGACAGTACTCACCAAAGGCATGAATGTAGGCTTCCCAGAGAGTTGCACTTAGGTGAATTTACATCGGCTATATATATGATTTTATGACTTTCTACAATACATTTCTCAAAGGATGTAATTTACAGTAGAGATTAAAGATTAAGCAAAGCGGGAGCTGGAGAGATGAGACGGCTCAGTGATTAAGAGCACTGGCCACTCTTACAGAGGACCCAGTTTTTGTTTTGAGCCTGTACATGGTGCTAGCAACTGTTCATAACTGAAGTTTCGGGGAATCCAGTGCCGTTTTCTAGCCTCCACGGGCATTATATGCATGAGTGCATTTATTTACATACATGTAGGCAAAACACTCATACACATAAAATTTAAAAAAATAAATAAATAAAAAATTAAGTAAACTTTAAAAGTTAAATAAAATTTGAGCTGGGTCATGAAATGATCCATGCCGGTAATTCTAGAACTTCAGAGGTGGAGACAGGAGGATCAGAAGTTTAAGGCCAGCTTTGGCTACCTACTGAGTATAAAGCTAGCCTGCACTACATGAGACCCTGTCTTAAAACCACCCAAAGTTAATTGAAGTTTCAAAATTAACTTAAATGGAGCTTGGGAGATGGCTCAGTGGTTAAGAACACTGGCTTTTCTTGCAGAGGACCCAGGTTTGAATCCCAGCACCCGCATGGCAGCTAACAACTGTCCATAGCTCCAGTTCCAGGGGATCCGACAGCCTCCTTCTGTCCTCCTCTGGCATTGCACAACATGAGTGCACTTACCTACATGCAGGCAATACACACATACACATAAAAATAATAAAATATTTTTAAAACTTAATTTAAACAGCCCATTAACTTATTTTTCTTTTAGGATTTCCTTTTATAAATGAAATTATATGGTAGTTTTATGAGGTGTTTTGTTTAGATATAGGATTGGGAGAGACTTAGTATTACTGTTAAAGTCAAGGTTACAAACATTCTGGTCTTAAGTGTGTAGTTCATTTTCTGGATTTTTGTTACTGTGTTTCATTGTTGTTTTGAGATAGGTCTCCCTGTAGTCCCGGCTGGCCTAGATCTCTGTATGTAGATCTGGCTGGCCTAGATCTCACAGAAATCTATCTCACAGAGATCTGCCAGCCTCTGCCTCAGGAGTGCTTAAAGGCGTGTACCACCATGCCCAGCTCTTTTGTTGTTTTTAACAACCTTGTTAGAAAAGGGAATGTCTGCTTAATTTTCCCTCTTGGTCTATTTTGCTTCATATAATCTTTAAAAATGACTATTAGGGCCAGCAAGATGACTCAGCGAGTGAAGGTACTTGGTGCCAAGACTGACAACCTGAGTTTGATCCCTGGACTTATATCGTGGAAAGAGAGAACTGACTCCCAAAAGTTGTCTAGCATCCGCATGTGCAGTGTGACACATGTGCACATACACACAAATAATAAATAAATGTTTTTAAAGAAAGACTATTATATAGTGCTTTGGGTAAGAATCATAAATAAAACAATTATAAATTTTTCCTTTTTTAGTACTTTTACTGTAAGTCCTTTTTTATTTTTTTTGTTGTTTTTGGTGGTAGGGGCAATCAATGTTTATGTTTGTTGTTTTTTTGCAGAGTCATGAAGCCAAAACTGGTCTCAAATTTGCTATGAAGCTGAGGATGACCTTGAAGTCCTGATCCTCCAGCCTTTACCTCCCAAGTGCTGGGAATGCAGGTGTATGCCACCACACCCAGTTCTGAATGTCTTAATTAGGAAAAATTCTAACTTAAGCATCTGTATATGTATAGTTTCAAAATTACTTAGAACTGGAAATGTAGCTTATTGGTAGAATGCTTACCTAACATGCTCAAGGGTCTGGGTTTGATTCTGAGTTCTGAAAAAAAACAATTCAAATAGTACAGCAGTTATAAAGTGAAAAATTAAAGTCTTCATTCACCCCTGCCCCGAGTAACCAAGTAATGTATTTACATTTCTTGTGAATTTTT